ACTCCTTATTTAGAACGAAGCTTGGACTTAGCAGTACCACGGACCTTCTTACACTTGTTCTTCAATTCCTTATAAGATCTACGCTTAGCTTGGAACTCAGGAGCAAGACCATGACGACGTAGTCTATGCTTAGGTTCAAAGGCTTGAGCCTTTTCAACAGTATCATAGATAAGACCAAAACCAGTAGAGCGTCCACCACCAAATTGGGTCTTGAAACCGAATAAGCTGATAACACGAGCATCCTTAACCTTATACCTACAATAAACTATAACAAGGAGGAGAATAATGATAGAGATACTACATCTTAGCTAGACTATCAGCAAGATCCTTCTTAGAGACACTACCAACACCGGGGTGTAGGACGTCAACAACCTAATCATTATTATAACTATTACATCATTCTTCTAACACTATTATTACAAATTGCTTGCGACCTAGCAAAGGGTTCGTAATGAACTTCCTGGTTCGGACGGTGAACTCGGCCATACCGACTGATGCGTACTCAAGAAAGGGACCACACCTCCATAAGACATCACGCTATATCGTAATCGATTAGAATGGCGTAGCGAGTTTTACAGCGCAAGCATCTAAACGTGAGGCAGCAGTTGTTGAATATGGCTTCGAATGGAAATGAGCAAAGTAAGGTTCTTCTTCTTCTTTTTGTCATTGATGTTCGGTTTGTACTTGTCTCTTTTCAGGTAAGCTTAGCCCGACAGAGAGCTTTAAAGTTAAAGTGATACATAAGGGTACTAGTAGTTGGGATGTTGGTAGTAGATACTATTGGAAGAGGCTTTGAACAAGTTGTACTTCCTAATCTCAATGGGATCTAATACTACATCAATACATAAAGAGGAATTAACACGATTTATGGGGGATGAGATATCAAGGAGTATTAAGGATCAGAAGGAACTTCAATTGGTAATAATAATATTATTACTATCATCATCAGTATTACATTTAGAGATATGAGGCATTAGTGATGCTAAGGGATGAGTTACTCACTAAGTTAGATGATAGGGATAGGCTACATGAGACTCAGGCCATTCTTGATGATATCACTATTGGACTAGCTGAAAGCAATAAGAGTTTATGCAGGTAGTAGTAGTGATAGTAGTAGTGTAATGATGTAGTTAGGAATCTAGAAGCTAATCCTGATATACCTGCTAATCTGATAAAAATGGAGAAGGAGAGGGAATTAGCTCATAGTTGGATTAATGATCTATATATCGAACTCAAGGACTCATTCACCTTTCTGGATCTACGTCATAAAGTTGATACAGAGAAGAAGTAATAGCAATATTAATAGTATCTATTATTAGACTATATCATCATGTGTAGGGCATTAAACTACTTAACAGAAGTCAGGGCTCGAGAGCAGGCAGTCTCTATCGATGTATTGAGATTAGAGGATGAATTAAAACGGGAGTATGATGATACACCATTGAATATATATACTATACCTTAGTATGTATATTAGATATGAAGAGGAAGAGGTAGAAGGTAAGGAAATGAATGCTGAGATAAGGAAATTAAAAGAGGAATTGTCCAGGAGCCGGAATGTGGCTAATATTGAACTCAAGTAGGGTCACCTTGTTAGTAGTAGTAATAGTGGTGGGAGTAGTTTCGAGCAACAACGACTAGAAGCACGTGAAAGGACTGCTAAGAACATGTAATACTGTGTTGTAGAAATAG